TTGGAAAAGATAGAAAGACAATTACGTTTATGGAATGCAGAACAGATTTACTGAGCCATTCAATCGTCAAGAGTGCGAATTTCCCTCCACACTTAAAGTGTGGTATCTTCATGAGTTTGTTATGAATGTGGATGAAAACGGTCTCAAAATTAAAAGAGTGCAATCCCATTTTCATATCCCGAAAAGAGAAACATACATCAGGGTTTGAGGCTGCAAAACACCTAGTCATATAAATGTTTGGGCTTAATGATTCGGAAGATTTAAAGCTAAAATCATTGCTTACGTACAGCCGCAGACACCTCGAACCACAAGAGGTGTGTTTAAAAGAGCACCTATTCGTTACCTGAAGGGCAAACGTTTATGAAAAAATGAATTTTCCAGACACGCTTTAACTTAATCGAACGTAGGCTTTATTGAGATGCTAACAACTTGTAGCCCGCAGCGTTACTGGTGCTCGACAATGCCACTGGTGGCTCAGAAAACTTGTATACTCTGCCAAGTGTAATACCTGTGGAAGCCTTCAGCCAAGCACTTTACTTATTCAAGTTTTCCTATTCATTTTCTGACCGAGACAATTTATGGTAAAAGGTTAACAGTCAGTCAGAATTCTGAAATTTTTCATCTTTATGAACCTCGAAGGTATGACCGGGTCTTGCAATAATTCCAGCAATTTATAACGACTATCGAACTGGAATTGCCAATAACATCGTCGATCTTGCTGATCAACTACGGATCGTCGAGTACGCTGCTGACAATGTGATGAACTGTTACAATCCTACGAGACAGCGTAGGAAAAAAGAGCGGCTATAGAAATGTATTGAAAATACAGATTACACTTTAAGAACGCATCTCCATAAAAACTATGCAGAGCTAAGTTATTGATGTTGATTCAGTTAACGTTCTCCTTTCTTGGATCTTATGCCCAGCATTGAACGAATCTGACTAAACAAGTAAAAGAGAGAAGGTAACATTTCACGTTTAGGTTATGACAGATTAAGTTTTCATAGACAGAATCTCTATTATCTGTTAAGGTTTGTCGATGACACTCCTTCGTCTTGCCCATCTTCCAGGCAGACATTTCGTGCGTGTAACTGTTCAAGTCGATCATAGTGCTCTGTCGAATCTCCAGTTGATGCGCAGAATATTGTGGGCGTCATTTTGAGGTCCGGGAGCAGCGTATATCTAGCGATGCGACGATGGGCAGCAAATCTGGACATACATTCGGAACTGAATCTAAGACATAACCCAACCTTAAGACTGAAACTGTTTCTGTTGTACTTCGCATGTACTAAGCTTATACTTAGTTTATCAATATTACTGTTCAGAAGTAAAGAGCAAATAACGCAAGGTCCATACAGTTTATGAACTGAAAAACACTAAACTGAATTATACGATTCGAACAATAAAACTGTATTCCGCCTATACTTGATAAACAATCAACCAGCATTGGATTCAGACTTAAGTACTGCTAGCAATGAATCGATAAACCGCGAACCGTATTGCCGCTTTTTTCGAGCAGAGCAGTATAGGCGAAGTAGCGGAATCGACGTGCTTGCGACGATGGCGCGTCG